ATAGTATTAAAAGCTATAATCAAATGATCTTTGAAATTTGTTATGTAATCCAATCAGAACTTTTCTTAACTTAAAAGTTAATTGTAAATGGTTAAGAGAGTATTTAATTTTTAATGTGTATAGTTTAATATGAACGAAGTTGATTCAGCAAAACTTCAAAATTAAAGTTCTTTTCATTTGATATCTGGATGAAATGTTTCAATACTATCAATGTTTGTAAACTAATTAATTTTTCTAGGTATCCTAGTCCAGGTTGAACATGATAGTTTCAAATAACTTGAGCATTGCATAGCAAGTTAATAAGAAATATTTGAGTTTTTTCTTGTTATATCTTATGAGTAGAAAAATTTGTGTTTCTGACGTTTCGTGACTTAATTTAAGCCATTCCTTCAGAGTAAATAAGTAAACGAATTAAAGTAACACAAGTTTAAATAGTACCATTTAATTAAACAAATTTTCGCAGTTTGCTAGAATGTTTATTTTATTTTTCAGGATAGTTTCTTCTGAAAGGGTGTTACATATTGTAATAATCTTGTTGTTGAATGTTAACATTAAAATTAATTGATTCGAAAAAGATATTTGATTTTGTTCTCTTTTAAACTTTAGTTTAATTAGTGTTTTAACTTCATAAACCTTACGACTTGCAAAATTAATGTTGCCTATTCATAAACTGGGTCAGTTGTCGATGTCTCATTAACATTAGCATTGTGGAAACTCTTAATACATAGGTTTTTTTTATCATATAAAGCTGTTGGATAAGAATTTATAAGAATAATAATTTTATGGAATATTTACTTTCACATACGATTTGATCTTATGCTTTCCACGTGTTTACGATTAACACATGAATTCAACTTCATATTGCGAAGAATCATACTTTGATAATGATTTGAGCACGATTACAGTTTGCTTCACTATTTAGTGGTTTTCCACTGGTCACTACTGATTCACACTTCAGTTTGTTAACATTTCCACTGAAATATCTTGCCGCTATACATGGATCCAATAACAAAAATCATCATCCAACTAGTAAACAAATGACCTTATTTATGAGACTAATATCTAAACGAAGAATATTCTTTTCCATAAATTCTTTTCAGGTTCTACAATTGTATATTTAAATTAATAATCCAAAAAATGGCCAGGTTAAGAGCAAAGTGCATCGTTTAAAGTTAAAGCATGAGAATTTAAGATTGTCAAACAAAATAGAAAAAAATTATTTATGTTGATATAACTCATGTGTTGAGTAGAAATTTAAGATCCATGATCAGAATAAATAACGGTGAGATAGGGTGAAAGAAATAATAGTGCAATTACAATTTGATCAAATGTTTAGTGGAAGACTATATTGTGTAAATAAATAAGTTGGAATGAATGCGAAGTAAATGAATCATGTATAGGGGAGATTAATAATGACGTTTAACCAATAGTAATAATAATAATTTAATAGTTGAATTCATGATTCACTCGAAGCTAAACCAGTACTTCCAGGTTTTCCATGGTGGTCTAGATTCAATGGAATCATGAATTCAACTATTAAATTACTATAATATCCACAAAACCCCTCTCTGATAATAATAATAATAAGAAAAAGAAGAAGAATAAGAATTCAAAGATTTATGAATAAAGATAACAGAGACAATCACATTTAGCTACGAAAGGTCGTAAGTACAATAGTCAAATTAGGTCATTCAATAGCTAAGATTACCATTGATTAACTGGCCTAGGTGTTGACCAGGGGAGGAGAAGTGTTTGAAGATGTTTGTTTTGTTCTCAAAGCTCAGATATCTTAATCCGGAGGACTACTGCTTCAGTTGTTTGCAGGACTTGAAGTCTGACTGGTCTCGCTTTACTTCACATCGATTATAGTATGACATGATGGAGAAAATCATGAAATTATGTAACATAACTTGGTTATTCAGCTTTTATTAGCCTGTCGAAGACTAGATATTCTGTTCAGATAATTCGATGTCAATAAAGGAATCATTTTCACAATTATTTTGATCAAAATTTTTAACTTAATATTGAAAAGTCATTATCAAACATCCAACTTCAATACATTTTATGTTTTCTAAATCATAATCATAACGAACAAATTATTTACTTAAATTAAGCATGATGTTGAAATGAATCACCTTTACTCATAATAAAATATTGCCTACTGATCGTAATATAATATTTTCTTAAATCTAATGCAAATAAATTTTATTTGTTTTATGAAAAATTAATATTTTTTCGTCTTTAATCATGATCTTACTCTATTGACGAGTTTCACTGATGAGCAGCATCATGGATCATCCTTTTTTTCAGAAAAACTTTAAAACAACATGCCCTTTGGTTGCAGTTATCAAGTGTTTAGTTGTAAAAACTAGCGGTCACTAAATTTAAGGGTATTATAAACAATAATGTTATGTATTTCTTGAATTATATGTTTTACTACGGTGGTTTTTAACAACTGCAACTGTAAACATAATCTTTAATAGACATATACAAAAATATTTTAGAAAATTACAGAAAAAATAATGTATGTTTCTACTAAAAACGGATCAATGCTTCCGATTTTCAATATATATAACATTTTATTTCTTTATACACATCAGTGAGTATGTAGAAGATCTGGCACAAACAAAATAATCAAATGTTTTCATTTCATACCATATTGTTTGTTGTTATTGTTTTACAATGTTTATCAGAGAAGCTAATCTCATTGTACCACATATTCGTTGTTATTTGAGCTCTTCTATAGAAGAATAAATGTTAAGGGTTTAATCTGATAGATTATTGCGATGAAATGTATCTACAAAAGATGATATCCTCAGAGATTAAATCTCTCGGTTCAGTTGTACAAGCCCATTAACTACCACCTATTTCATTTCCTGACTAATCATCAACAACATTCATGTTCAAATAATTCCACTGTAAAATTACCACACAAAGATTGATTCGTGAATCCCATTTCAAATTAAAACAACAACAACAACAATATCGACAACAACAAAACCTTAAAATAGTTTAGCCAGTGTTTTACCATCGTTATTTTCTAATGAGTATGTTGTTTGGATCAAAATTGTGTTTTGTTTTAGCAAGCTCTTGAAAACAATTCAATTCTTACAGTCATTGAAGATTCAAGTGCAATACTCCATAAATGATGAATAATACAATTTTGACTGAAGCAATGGTATTATTCAAATGTAAACATATTGAAGTATATATTTTCTCTAAATATAACACTATTTTTACACCTGAAAATGTAAGGTTATTGTAGAGGTATTCACTTCCGACCATCCGTTGATCATACCAATTTCCATGCAGTTAATGTTCATTCACAATATTCCATTAACCTGCTGTGCACATAACTACGATGAAACTAACTACAAGTTAATATAAATGAATACAAATGAATCTTATACTTCATTTAATAAAATCAGGATGATATACTGATACAAATAATCATCTTGATATTTTTGCTTACAAATAAACAAACAAATTCATTGATGTTAGTATGCTACTAAATATCTAAATTATATGACTTTTTTATTACTGAAACTGTGTTACAACCTGCCGATCTAATTTTATTCCATCAATCAACAAAGTTTATTTTTAATTATGGTGAACATTAAAATGAAGAACATCAATTAGGTCGTATTACATTGAATCGTTAGTCAAGAACCTCTAAATATGTTTTTACGCTTACATTACTTATGTTATAATAGGCTGACTAACAGTCTGTTCACGATTTATTTAAGATTTTTAGAGTCTTCACTTGACGATTTTTTTCAAATATAATTATCCCAAAGATTGAAAGTACTTACTGACAGTTATCATGTTCTCATTGGTGGTTTGCTTCGAGAGAAAATTTCCGAAGTCTTAGTGAAAAGCATTGGTTAGTGGTTTGAATTCGTGTTGAGTGTGGGGCAATTACCCACCGAAGGCAATAGAAGATGGTTGTGCAATGTCTTAGATTGATTGCAGTCCGACATGAACACCGCTGGATGCCAACTCAGTGGTCTAGTGGCTAGGCATTGCGCGTGTTCGATTCCCCCGTACAAAGTCGACGGTGCTCACCTGTGACGAATGCTATACTAATACAGAACGTCATCCTAATGCTTCTAGATTTTCAATGATGTTCTGATTTAGATCGGTTCATCATTTCAATCAAGAGAATACAAATTAAATGTTTCGACAATATAATTTTATTGTATCTTTTTTTGCATTGAAGAGAATGCTTGCCTTTAATAACAATCATTTCAAATTCTTTATAAGAATATATAGTTTCACTTACTTTACTGACGAAACTAAGTAGTGGTTGACTCTGTCGGTTAATTTAAAGTGTGTGTGTTCTGAAAATCACATCACTTCCCTTATTGATATTTAATATTATTAGTTTTTTTAATAAAATGACTATGTTATATATGATAAAGAAATGATCTTATATGAATATGGTTCTCCTAGGAGAAATTTTTTATTCACGTATCAACCTGTTTATATTAATTCGTTAAAAATATACAGTTTATATAACTCAAAGCTTCTAACTTAGAAAACTGGTTATCTTTCTGCATAATTGTACGGTTTACAGGGTTTTGTATAATTTGAAAATGGGTTTTAATTAGAACGATCCAGCATTATATATTTAGATTCTGACGAGATCGACTTAAAGTTCTATTTGCAAGCATACACTCATTGAAATACTTATTCTATATTCGACAGTTCACATTATCTTACTCCAGAGATTTTCAATGTTAACTTGGAGTAATCACAAATTGTGTTTTGTGTTTTTTAATGCGATGAATGCGATGAATAAAATTTTCTTTTGTTAAAACTCCACTTTAAAAAACAATCTTTTTTGTTCGTAAGTAAGCGCATAAAATTAAAGTGACCAGCATTTACTATTTACTTATCATTCATAATACAATTGTAGATCTCTATTACTTGTCATGTGATTATGTCATCAAGATAATTTTTTTCTTTAAATTATCATTCAGTTGAGTATATAACCAATATATGAACTATTTTACTGAAAAGAAAAACTGACACATAGAGCATGTCTTGAGTTCACTTATTGATTAACGGTGTATAGTATTGTGATTTGCCTGAAATAATATAAAAAATATTAATATTTAAGTACCATTTCATCTCCAGAGCTATTCTACTACTTCTTGCATCTATATTGCTAATCATATTATTTAACGATTAAATAAACATTTAGGATATTATAAGATATTTTATCATAGATAATACAATGTCTGGAAACATGACCACTTTACGAAGGTAAGTTTAATTGGTGGTAGTATTTATTCCTTTAGATTTACTATCTATTAATTATAATATGTAAAGATTTATTTTCGTTTATATTCACAACATGTTCGCTCACAGTGAATTACGTTTGATTGACACTACTTAATAAAAAATAATAATATTCTAAGTTAATATGATTATAAGTTCAATTTATGTAATAAACAAAGTTTATATAATTCGAAAAACTTCAGATAAGTAGGTAGATAATAGTTAAATTCATTACATACTGAGAAGAATATACTTCATTTTTATCATAAACATCTGTTATAGAATGAATATCATATTAAAATAGAAACTTCTAACTGAGACAATCAACTTAAATAGAATGTATTATTTTTGCTTGTACACGCAGTCTATTTAAATAATAGGAGTACAGTGTCATGTTAACTTCTTAATTTGTAAATATACAAAATCACTTTAGATCACATTTTAACTTCATTATATTGGACGTGGTATGTATGAAACAAGACAAGCGTATATAAATAAGATTGGATAGACTAATTTTTATGATTGACGTTTTAGTAAATGATACGTTTACCCTTTTTACCAGAAATTAATCAAGCATTCACTAGTAACCAACTTCCAGAGCTGAGTCCCAGAGTTCTAGTGAGAAGCTGTTATAGGTTTAGCTCCACTGAACATTGCCATTTCCAGTACATAGTGGTCGCTCAATATTACAAATCAAACGGAGTTAGCAATGTAGACCAATGATCATAAGGTTAAACGCACGGAGAAAGACCTAAAAGTTTTGAGTTTGATTTTTGGTTAGATCGTAGATGCATATTACTTAGGAGCCCCATACTGATACTAAATGGTTATCCAGTAATAGCAGTTTTCAACAGTTGTTTAGGTCGGGTAAACTCGTGATGTAAAACTACCAAGATGATATCAATCAATAATAGCCTGAAGTTTAAGTGTTTGAATTCAATAGAACACGTTTTAAGTATATAACGTCATTGTTATACGAAAATATAAAATAAAATGCATTGAAAAATTTAGATTCTTACTTTATCACTTCACTGATTTCACTATGATTTTTTTATCTGTTATCACGGTTTACTAAACATAGACGCTAACTGATATGGTTTATAATTATAATACATGTAACAATAGTGCTTACTATTTACATCCAAAACATACTATTGTCGATTGTTTAAAAATTCAACTTTTTTCTATACTCATTTACCAATATAGTTTGTTATAGTGTCAGGTTTTCTTTTATCAAAGTTATTTACATTTGGTAGATAATTACCACTAGATGTGTAGTTTTCTACTAATCGTCAGTCCTATAAATTCTTAACTAAAAGAGAACTAAAGTATATCGCAATGATAAATAATATAAACCCTACAAATATACAAATACACCGTTCCATTAAATGCATATTCAAGAAAAGGTTTATTTCCTTTAAAATTCGGAAAATATCAATTATTAAATATTTTCAAACATCCAGTTCCCGAATGCATTTTCTCTTTTCGCATTTTCTATGTATTTCTTTAAAAATTAAGGTTAAAGGGAACTGGATATCACAATATTCAGTCTAGTTAATCATTCATTAGATTCTCCTACGTTCATTTGATTTACTAAACTTTTCAGTATGATCAAATATTCCACTAAGATTGGTTGAATAAACTTGTTAATCTGTTGAAGAAAGAAACATTATAATCATATCATTATGTTACATCATTACTCTTAAAAAAACATTCTTGTTTCACCCATAGTCGGAATCACTGTTTTTTAATGTCTTTCTTATTTATATAAAACAATGTTTTTAATTTATTTTTTCCTACTATTTTCAGACATCATTCTACATTCTCTCATACAATGAATAAGTTTAAAGCTATGGATAAAGCAAACAATCCCCAGGGTGCAAAACCAAAGTAAGAGTTGTAAATGAAATTTTTCTCGGAAAAAACATTTTTGCAAAACATTTTATTATGTTAATACATGAAATTCATTTTGATCGTTACTTTATTCGAAGAAATAGTTCGGATAAATAAATAATACCGAGAGTAAACAAATGTTAGTATTTATGTATTCGATAACTAGTTATTTAGTCATCAACTTGAACCCCACCAGTCAGTCAGTCAGTCAGTAACAACGTGGAACTTCGTACCTACGTACATCAGTTCGAGTTGTCATACCACATTAGCACAGAGATTCAGTTATCGATTCAAATCTTGTAGTGGAAGAGGTAGTGATAGGGAACATTAGGGTTTGATGATGTTATTTAAGGAGTATAGTCCAGTGGAATAGATTTGGAAAGAAAATAAAGGACATGAAGAATTCAGAAGATCAGAGTTTGAGAGAACACAGAGAGGGGATGCACCTGCCCCATCGCAAACAATTTTGAGCCATGTCATTCAAAGTCTCTAACCATCGGTTGTTATCATCTTGCGGTCCCCAACCAGGTAGTCTACACCTACCAACATGGCTCAGTTCACTTGTTAGTGACTTCATGGATTTGTGCCATGTTTTGTTCTGGCCGCCCCTAGGTTTCTTCCAACCTACTCCTACACCAAAAAACATCGCACGTGAACCTCGCCATACCTATGTCGTCTTACTCAGTTGGATAGTATTACTGACCCTTAAGCAAAAACGTGAAACTGAAATCAAGAATTTGCCTGATTACTGAATTACATCACACCTTTGTGATAAATAGATTATCAATTGATAAATTGGTCGTGAGAAGGATTGGTGAAGAAATATTCGTAATAAATAAACTAATCATTATCTACATCACATTAACCTATTTTTCGATAGTCTTATAACTGTGTGTTTTGCATAAAGAAAGCCTATTACTTAGAAATTAAAATGTTTTTATAACAATGTTGACGTAAGTTGGCTGATATGCGTTAAATAATTCGAATATATAATCCTGTTAAAAACTTTAATTATAATCTACATAGCTCAGTTGTAATTTTTCAAACATGTCATGTAGTGTTAGATGATCGCAGTTGTAATAAACATAATAGTCTAATTCAAGACTGTTGCTCACCATGAAGGTCAATGAAGCTTATGAATAATACTCTTTCACGATTATTTGTAATTGTTCAAGGCGGAAATGACAGAAATTCGAGTTAATTGGATTCTTAAAAAATAGTTTTTAAGTGATCAGAGGAGTAAAATAACTAAAATTGATTTTAAATGCTCTGAAGTTATGTTAAACACGTTAATGTACCTGTTAACTATATACAAATAACATAAAAGAGGTTACATAATTAAACCTTACAAATATATACGTAAGTGATGAAACTAATGTTGAAGAGAGACCTCTTTCCACAATGTTACGAGTTCATACAAAATGTCGTCTATCGAATTCGTCAAAACTATCATAATGACAGTACTTAACAGTTCATATAGAGATGGTGTGTAACTATGCATACTACTTAAATATATCATTTACTAATGCTTTAGAAATGACTTTTCTTACGTATATTCGCAATGATAGAAATAATTCAATATTTTAAATATTACACTTATTTGTTGCAGGATATTGGGGATCTACAAGTAATTGATGTGCTTCTTTTCATTTATTTACACTCATGGTACTTTTCTGTTGTTCTGGGGTTTCATTGATGAACAGATATACAAGATTTCTTTTTACAATTTCAGTGTTTTTACATGATGAACACTTTTTATATAAAAAATTAAATGTGTGGCAACAATACACCAAATGATCAGTAAATTATCAATTTTATATCACATTCTGAATCTAGAATTTTGTATAAACTAAATTATTACGAGACTGAATATCCAATGATAATATTTAAAATGAATTGTAAAATATGAAGCTTACAAACAATTGCTAATATTGATTGACATGAGTCCAGTATTATTAAATACACGTAGAAAATGTATACCTTAGTAGGTTTAACTACATAATGTACCATCGGAAGTGTGAAACACCACTAATTAAGCTGTGAAATTTTAGATATTCTAAACGTCAAAATGGATCCCAGTACAAGTTATGTATCTCTTAAAGCATTTTTCCCAGAAAAATAGCTTTTTCAATCAATAACGTTCAACTTTATTTACATCAAAGTTACTTGTTTACTAAAAATAATTTTCTTATACAGTCGCAAATATGCTATTCAGACAGATTCTGTACTTAATTAGGAACAATAGGAAGTACCAATACACTAAGTAAATTGTCAAAAATGGCTTCAACTAAACTATTTAGTTAGATCACATGTAAATGTGCTGAAAACTCAATTTGCCGATCACTATGAATCAGTTATTTTTCATCCTTTTACTTAACAAAAATTTAAAGATTTTGCAAGATCTTAATTAATACAAACTTTAACACTGGATATAAATATTACAATAAACATGCCTTCTTTTCGCCACATACTCAAAATTTCGGACATTAATACCGAATTGTGCATCAATACCGAGGTTAGACTTATTAGCTTCATTGTTTCCTTTGTACTATCTAAACGTGTTAATTTAATACCGGTTATTTATTGACTCTGAAGAAGTGGCTTACATTAAGTCACGAAACGTCAGAAATACAATTTTTCTACTCATTTAAATGAAACAAAAATATATTTATTACAATGGCAAAATAGGTATTTTGTTTATTGATTATTAATTACATTACAGTTTTGCATCCGGTGGAAAAGGAGCACAACCTAATGCAAAACAGATTATGCTTGATTGGTGTAAAGCTGTAACTAAAGGATATGAGGTAACTATTTTTAGTTTAATATGTTATTTAACATTTGTTAAGAGAATACAATTTACAATAAACTGAAGCATTTTCTTCCTCCTAACTTGACAACCGATTAAAATATATGCTCTCTAATTATCTAAGTTAATTACTAGTTATTGGATAGCACCATTATTTTTATTTCGAAATAGTGATAGATTATCCCCCGTTTGAATTGTTGTATTGAATAAAGTAAAAAAGATCTGATTTATAAAACTATAATTCAGTTATTATTAAATCCACATGAAGGTTTCTGTATGAAAGTTTGTATAAAAATAAACACGAGTTCCTCCTCAATTCTTTAGTTAGCTAACTTAAAGATTGTAAGAATCGCGTAGGGAATGAGGGACTCCGATTTGTAGTCAAACAAATGATAAATACTAATGGTTCAAACTTAATCAAGATTTCATATAGATAAGTAACCTTTAAATTCCGACCCCTCACTTTTTCAATTTTTTATATTCCAGTTTTGTTCGTGAAGTTATTTCTCAACTTGATTTTATTCTCAATAATGTTAAGAAGTTATGTGACTTTTCTTGGTGGCTCACTAGTCTGTCCATATATTTTTATCAAAAAGCCACTATCGTAATGAGCTTCCTAACTTTCAAATTTTTCTTCTGTATATAATAAATGTTGAAAGATTTATTTTTAATAAACTCAAAATCTTTAAGTGTATTTTGTAAAGTAATTTTAATGTAAATCAAATGAAACACGATTCAAAATCCCCAAGATTAAGCTTACAAAGCGTTGAACGATATAATTATTGATAATGATATGAAGTTCTGTTTATTCTCTTCTGTAGTTAAACGACCATTTAAAATAATTTTGTACTCGAATACTAACATACGGAATGAACCGTTTACATCCCTAATTCATTATAATTATGACATATCACTTTGAACTTTAACCAGTATCTTATTCAGAATTAGTATTTTCAAATTGTACTTTCTTAACTCGAACTAGACCTTCCCTTACTTATAACTTATTGGAAATGTTAGCGAAAGTATCTCGCTAATCATTTTGATGGTTCATTGCCATGAATATAACTTTAAACTAAGTGAAAATTTAAGTACTGAGGAAGACTAAATTTGTATTCAGATTTCTCTGCTGATGACTAGACTTAGGAAAATGTAAACTGATCACCTAATCTTATATGACTTCAATCTACTTAGGCTAAGAATGTCTCAAGTCATCCAGATTTTATAAATAAATTATAGTTCTTTCCAGTAGCGATAATAGCAAGTATATTTTTTCTGATTCATAATTCCTCGTGAAAATTCGGTTTTATTTGATTGGTCATTTGCACCTATAGTTTGACAATTTTCTTGTCTCCCAGGGTCATACTTTATTACAATATATCCAGAATTATTATATTTTCGATTTAACTTTTGGAATATCAAGCTTTTTCTACACTCATCACCTATCTGTGTGTTCCTTTCCATTTGGAAATTACTGGTGAATTGTTCTGAGTCAGTTTTCAATCATTCGGATTCACATTAGATCCTGTTTGTGTTAAATGAATTTGTCATTTGTAAGTAGAAATTACAGTAGGCCCAATCATACTAATTAACATACTTATATTCATAGCTAATCTATGAATTTTGATAAAAGGGGTTCACAATGTATACAACTCCAAATGTATTTTTATTAATAAATATCCAAAAACACAACCCAGAAATAACACTAATGTATTAGTCGGTAGCCTTGCGAAAATTTGTAATAAAAGTTATAATAGAAAAATCTGAAAAATGATCGTAAACCATGCTACAAATTATTGCTTTTGAATAGTAGTACATCGGTTTGATGCATTGGTTTTATCCAAAGTTTACATTAATTACCAGATTAATTTTGCATTTGTATATCTGGAAATAACGTAAAATGTTTGATTGACAGAGAAAATTATGTAGATAACGTGATGTCAGAGACGTTTTAAATAAGTAACATGAATCTAAAAAACATTTCTATTAATACGAAATGTTATTTAGAAGTGACTTATTAGACTTTTAAGATAGCCTTATATACCAGGTTGGTTGATTAGCTCAGTTTCCACGACTAAACTTGCACGGAAATCCGGATCAAAAACTGAGTATTCTTTTAATTGGTGTTTAGATCCTATCACTAATAACATTGTCTTACAGCCCCATTTATTGACATGTTAGGTTTAAAGGATAACAAAATCATGTAGAGTGTATATCACTGATGGGAGTATTGTACTTTTTGCTACTAACGTCTTAATACAATCACGCGAAATGTTTATAAAGTTACTAGTATCCCTGGTCTTTTCATGTGCTAAACATTTAGCATATTCCATAAGCACTATCATTCATTAGAGTTCAGACTTTTGCAAATTATCAAACATGGATTATCATAATATCACAAATATCCAAATAAAATTGTTATAATGAAAAGAATTCAATCTGACAATTATCTTTAAGCAGTTTATATGTAATTTTGTTAATGTACGGTAAGTATGAATTAAAACTTGTCAGATATAGTATGTGTTACATTATAGTAGCAAATTTAATATAAATAAGCAAGTTCTGTACACCACGACCTAATTTTTAAAAAAAAGTGATACAACCTCATTCCATGCAAAAGTAGCTTTGTGAGATAATGGAATTAATATTTAAATGAACAAAATACTACTAGCTTAAGGTCACTATCTAGTAATGAAATTTCTATTTTACTGCTTGTAGAATCTAATCTAGTTGTATAAATCATTAAACTATCAATCCTTCTCCTAATATAACATTTTCATAAGCTTTCTTATTTCTATCTTTATTGGTGTCGAGAAATACAAATATGAGAATATATATATACTATGTACGATATTCAGGTCGAATTGATAGGAAAGCCATTGAAATTCTAAGAGTAAAACACCAATGATAAAATTTTATATATTTGGTTATCTTTAGCATTATTGATAATGAAAGTATGAATTTTATTAAACGGAATACACCCATTAAGACATTAAATAAGAAAGATTAGTTCAGCGAAGAGTTCTTTTTTCGGCGAATTCATTTTCAAAGCTGTACAATCTCAAATATATAAATATATATATATATTTACAGGATGATAATAGTACTGATAATAAACTTGTTATACATGGTGTTAGTGAGGTTAAATAAACAAAAGTATTTAAAAAAATTTAAAACAAGGAAAGTTTAATAATCGTTTGATTGTTAATAGTTTAAGTGTTCATCAAGAGATAGATAGGGAAACTATCATTGATAATTATGAATGTTTGTTTATTTAACCCCTTTGTCACCACGTATAACAAGTTTATTATCAGTACTATCATCATCCTGTAAATATAAGTATATATATATATATATATATATATATATATATATATATTTGAGATTGTACAGCTTTGAAAATGAATTCGCCGAAAAGAGAACTCTTCGCTGAACTAATCTTTCTTATTTAATAAACTTTATTATTTCGTATGAAAAGACAGTCCAATCTTACGATTGATTAAAGAGTCTCATAGAATCTTAACAGAAAATATACTTATTTGATAATTATTGCCTCCATAGCACTATTAACTCAAAATCAATAGACAAAATTAACTCAGCTATGATATTTATTTGGCTACATCATTCTCATCCACAAAAAATGTGTTATTTCATAAAGGTTCAAGTTATTCGTGAAAAACGAATTGCAACAGTTCATGAAACTGTTCATTTAATTACCTAGACCATGTGTAAGTATATACGTTGTCCAACATGAATTCTTGTGATAACCTCAGGTGATGAAATAGCTGTTTAATTCTAACAGTTTAGTATTATTCATTTAGTTTTTTGCTTTGTTTATGACATCAACAGTTACTACTTTTCAACTGTGTTCATCCAAAGAAAATGTTTACATTCCTAGATTTTATTTTTCTTTATTTAGGTTGCTTTGATATTAGTGGCAATTTAGAGAAAGTATCTAAGCTAGGTTTTGCATTTGATTCCATTTATCAGTAGAGGATAAACGAAAACTCATAGAGGACGACTTTCATCCCCTTGGATTCGAATACATCATTACAATAAGAGACGTTATCACTCGGTTATTTGACCTAATACCAGCTATCTGTAGAAATAAGATTTTCAAGCTGATTAAATACTAAATCGTAGCAAATGTTATATTTATCTCTTTTTGAGTACTGATTGGATTCTGCGTGCTATGTCGCAATCTAGTCACTAATCCTAGACTACTAGTAGGCTTTTCTAATGAACTTACCGTACTTTGATCTATTGAATCGAAATAACACTAAGAACCAAATAAATATTACATTGATTGCTGTAATTGTTCATTCGATGTGAGCATAACGTTTCAAAGGAAATAATTTGAATCCCTGAAATATTCTGGTTTTATGGAACTTTTGTAGGCTCAGTGTTTTTTTACTCTCAATATATATGTAGTGAATTTATTGCATCTGTTCATTTCAACTATATGAAAGGTAATTCCAACACTTTGATTATTACGAAAATTCATATAGCATCATCTGTTATTTATGCATAAGATATGAATTACCAGTCAGAAAAATAATAGTTACCATTTTATGCTACAACATACTATTGTTCATCACAAAAATAACGTTACGAATATGTTTTATGTGGATGCACGAAGTCCTTGAACTTCCATATTCTTTAAAACTAATTTAATATTGTATAGAACCTTAAATATCTATGCATCAATTTAAAGTAGTTTAGTTTTTAGGGGATTGTAAGCTTTCTTTGTCCTTCTAAGATCAAATATAACTCGAAATTGATTTAGTCAAGTAAGAATATATATATATATATATATATATATATATATATATATATATATACCAGTCACTGTAAAACTTTGGAGATTCAAAAGTATTATTTGTCTGTAAATTGACGGACAAGCGACTTAAAACGTGATTTTCTGAAAATATCGAAATTATCACACTATTGTTTTAAAATCTTTGCAATAGAGTTATAGATAAGACTATTATATTTAGAACCATAAACGAAGTGTCCAACGTTTAGTGCAAATATATCTTATATAAATCAGAATATGCTCAACTAAACAATTTTCGATTTCCTATGAAACATTTCATGTTCTGATTTCACCTAACTCATAGATTTACTTCGGCAATAACATCCTTTTACAGTGAAAATGACATAAGATTCCAGCGACATTTCTCCTTGATGCCAACATTTTTTTTTGGGTTGATTTATCTATTATTGATTGTTTTATTTCTTTCTCTGCTTGTATTCAGGGTGTGGACATACAAAATTTTGGAAGTAGTTGGGGTGATGGTTTAGCGTTTTGTGCATTAATTCACCACTTTTATCCTGATTCATTTGATTTCTCTACATTGGATCCAAAAAATAAACGAGAAAATTTTGAATTAGCATTTGAAAAAGCTGAGTAAGTTGTAAAAAAATATGCGTGTATAAACTTACAGATATGACTCTACGTTTCGCATATATATTTTTTATTCAACTAGGTCGTAACGTGACGGGTAGTAGGATTTACTGCCTTTAAAATGAGCTATCCCTCTTTTTGTAGTAATAATGCTCCAATGGAGTTTCAATAACGTCAGCCGAAGCTAAAGTGAAACAGATGAAAATCGTAGACTGAAATCGAATAAATTAGTCATATTTTACCTCCGTAATCTAGATGAATCTATAGCTTCGATAAAAACCGAGATTATTTAATGAGAACACCTTTTATATTTCAAGCTGGTATGTAAAACACTAAAATCGGATTCCTAATATTCGAATTAAAACGACTGTAGGTTATTTAAAGCGAAACATAATTTTCTTTGTTTAAAAATTCAGAAATAGTTTTCTTTTCATATAAGTCTCTCTATAGTTATCCCAAACAAATGGGTTATTTTTTAATTTTAGCTACTCGTTTAATCACTTATCCTACAGCACATAGTCCTTTCAAAATGCTCTTGTTTGTAGTTAGGGATATATCTTTTGATAGTATTAAAGACTTGGTTTGAAGTAATGCATATAATAGGGAAATAATATGAGGCATTTCAATAATACATTGAGACTTGAATATTTACATTGCTAAGCATGTGATAGGAATAATAATAATCGTACAGATTTTGCTGTCAAATCAAAACAAGTTAAAGAACTCGACTGGGATCAATCAAGCAAATGACTTTGAACTGTATGTAAAGGCTTTATCAAGAAGTAGAAAAGATGACCTATCAGTAGAAAGGCCTAAATATGATCTTTTCCCCTTTCAACAGGTAATTAATATGCATTTATAATTCCTTTGTTCATTTCAAATTGACAGTAAAGATTTTTTTAAAACATATCATTCTGACAACATTCTAAGATACATCGAATATTGAACTTGATTGTTTTCAGATTAGTTATAAATCTAATAGTTCAGTCAACAGTTTTCGTGCTTTAGTGAACCATCTATAGATATATATTAGTTGAATTATTCATGCCAAACACACATATAAATGTGTATGATTTCATATAAGCAATATTGTAAAAACATAACTGTATTGTTATGTAAGCCAGTTTTGCTTATTTGCTGCATGATAAAACAATAAAATGTCAAGACAACAGTAGCCAGGATGAGATTTTTTCAATCTCTTTTGAATAGTTTTATTAACGTTAGATTCATTTTACAATTTAATTTCAAACAAAGTAGGACCACTTCTCTGAAATTTACTGACATATGGAAATGCACAAAATAGAAATGAAAAATAAAACGAATTAGGTAGAAAAAATGAAGAGATTTAGAAGGATGATGCGGTTTGAAAAACGTAACGAAAACGAAAGATTATCTGGTAATAATATTATTCATTGCCACACATAACAACTTGGTTTTTGTTAAGCGGTTTTCTCATGGTTGAATGGTTTTGTTTCCGAAAATGATAATATTGTTCAAAGAAACATTCAAGTTTTTGTAAACAAACCATTCAGCTAAGAGAATGTAACACCACTAAAGAGCGTCGACCAGAACTGCTAATCACACTCGACCCCGTCATTTCACAGTGAGCTGACTTTATTCGTTTGTTTATTAAAATTACAATGTAGTTGAGTATCAAACACTTCCAGAATGTTGCCAAACTTAATAAAAGACATTGAAAGAATAAATAACCACCTACTGAAAATTTATCACTTCTCTGTTCATCTATGATTTTGATTGAATGGTTTTTTTGAAGTTGGTCAGATAATTTTGATTCATATAAGTGTCACAAAAAATTACATCAGTCTGAAACGTAAATATCATTTTAACTGGCTACCTGACTACCATGGTACAATACTACGTAAAAGAAGTTGAAAATGTCGTAGTATTTAATAAAATGTTGTATATTAAATCTTTGAAGAGGTGGGATATAACGAAAAATATATTTACTAATAACTTTCTACTCGATGCTCAATTTGTTTGAAATTGTCAAGTCCAACCTTGAAATCGATTGATTTATAAAACAAAACAAAACAATAATTCATTACACCACTAACATACAGTTAATTTTGAATGGGAATTACTACCTCTTTTGTATGAAATATATAGTTCATTTACTTAAATTAAATTGATCAATACAAAAGGAATTTTAATAGTTGAGACCGTGAGTCATTTGAAGGTAGACCACCACGGAAAACCTAGAAAAACTAGACGGCCATTTCGTCCTCAGCAGTACGCTATTAAAATTACTATAATATCCGCAACAGCCTTTCTGATATTAATACAGAAGTGTTTGATAATTTGGATACAACAAAATGTTACAATAAAGAATATTTTAGAGTGATATTACTTATATAGAAAGAATCATATAATTATATCGACTCATTTTCACTTAGTGGAATATGATTTTACCTTTTTTTAAGTCATCAGGCTAATCAAAAGTGAAGCATATTGAAATTACTCAACACTTTTAATCATACAGATTAGTGTGTAAAATGAAGGATTACTTATAAGACATAACTGTTTATGCGTTTTTATACAACTAGTTCAGCAAATAATTTGATGTGATTATTACTCTGTTATATATATAAGAAATCTTGTACCAAGCACTCATTGGATGCTTTTTCAAAGTGTAATTGACAATTTCGATTTTAAACTTTGTTATTTTATTCTGTTTGGAATTCTTTGTTCAGTTTGTATAAGATAGATAAACTGTGTCATCCTATTTACTAATGTATCATTTCCAGTGTTATAAGTTGACCGTAAGTCTGTATTAAATTATGATTAGCACATCAATTTTTACTTAAAAATAGCTATTACTTATAATTCAGTAGAGTTATACACCAAACTATATTCAGGGTTGGTGTTATTTTCTTGATAGAAAGAAACACGTCTTTTGAACTGCAGCCAATATTCAAATCCTTAGTATTTAATGTAAAGAAGTGATTTTCTTCAATAAGGCCCCAAAATGCCCTGGTACAGCCGAGAGTGGGGTGAGTCAGCTCTCCTTCTCGAAATGCTCTCACATGAGCACGCGTACACAACCACTGCCAGGGAATTCCTACTCACTGCGGTAGGAGTGTTGTTCAGGAATTTGAGAGGACGAAAAGCGAATATCCGGAGCTTTAACTGGGTCGGTGGACATGGAGAGTCCACCAAGATGTTGGAAAACCCTGATTCCACACCAACGGTGCACATAGGCTCCAGTATCCTGAGCGAACAAATGGCGTATGTATTAATAGTTGGTCACCGGCTATCATGGGCTTGCATCTCCTAACGTTGCTCCACTGCCTTGTGAATTAGACCTCTAGGTCAAAGGCTCAAGGAGTAGCTCGTTAAGAAAACCACCTGCTTCGGTCTGAGCACCCAAGCAGTATCCTAGTTTTCACACAAATTGAATGATTTATGTGTTGCATATCTATTTGGTGCCTCCTTGTACCAATGTTTAAATGTTTAAATAAATAAATAAATAAAATATTCGAAAAAGGTAAAAAGAAAAATGGTTTTTAAAGTGAACTACATTCTATCTAATAGTAATCAATCAAGAAAAGCAAATTTTAACAAAAGTTATTAAATTTTCACCATTAACCCTAAAAAATAATTTACTGTTACAATATTTATGAATAAAAAATTGAAGTATAAAACTATTACTAGAAAACAGAAACATTTCAATGAAAGAGTAAGAAGATTTTGTAAAAATAAACCTCATTAATCCTTTGATCATAATCTCTATAACACAGACTGGGTCAACTAACGTTTCCATTAATTAGGCACTAATAGTAATCTGTGGACAATATATATATATCAGCTAGATAGTTACGCTCAATAAAAACATATTCATTTTTGTAATCCACAATGCTCATTTGGCTGATGAATAATACAGTTAAACATTTTCTATCAACTTAATTAGTTTTATATTACTTTTATTTTATTTTAAAGTGTCTTGAAGTAAACGAAATATACCCATTGAGACGTAAAATGAGATCGATTGGTTCAGTTAAGAGTTCGCTTTTGGAGAATTCATTTCGTTCTTTTAAGACGGTCTTAATCTCTTGTCATTTTCTTTCTTCATTGTTTTCTTCCTTTACAGCTATCTGCTTGTCTTTCATCTTCTCTATAGACCTTTTGTTTCCAACATGATTTTTTCTGCTTCTATGATCCTCTTGATTACAGCTTATCTCAATTTCAACATTTTATCTTATCATGTTGAGCCTTCCTTTCCCAATTATAATTTCTCCATTCATCTTCATTATGAATATTTAAGCCCACAACAACAAAACTAGTATTAGTTTTATTATCAGAATGGGGATTGGTGGAGATTGTAGTAATTTTAATAGTTGAATTCATGAGTCTCTATAAGCTAGACCACCACTGAAAACCTGGAAGCACTAGACGACCATTTTGTTCTAGTATGGGACTCTTCAACTCCGCCTGGAGTCCCTCCGATGGCTACTGCCGGTCCCAAGCCCGGATAAAAGAGGAGGGTTGGGAATGGGGTTAGCGACTCCATCTCGTAGAAAACTAACTCGCTAAAAAACGCTAACCAGAAAAAATTATTCAAACCATTTAAACTCTGGCATGAGAGTTAGAATGTCTTTATTTAGAAGAGTTATGACGTCTCATGATGTAAGCCGAGTTCCTTCGGAAGTCACGAGGCTGATGCCCTTTCTGACAACCTGGGCAACCATTTATTTAGGTACATGGAATGGTCGCACAATGTGGGAGACTGGGAGAGTTTTCCAAATTGCTGCAGAAATGAGGAGATACAATTTAGAGGTGCTTGGGATCAGTGAAACACATTGGACGCAAGTTGGACAACAACGACTAGCTTCAGGGGAGCTGCTGTTATATTCCGGACATGAAGAAGAAAATGCCCCACATACACAAGGAGTTGCATTGATGCTGTCCAAACAAGCACAAAATGCACTTATAGGATGGGAATCTCATGGACCAAAGATCATTAAAGCCTCCTTCAAAACAAAGAA